AACAATAAAGAGGGACAGAGTCATTAACAAGTCCTCCTGGTGACTACAGTCAAATTACAGTGTCCTTAATAGTAATGAGAAATCGATTTGTTACAGCAAGGCCAGCAGCACACTGCTCTGTAACCCTGTAGTCCAGAAAGAAGTCTCGGGGTCACTGTTCCTGTGCAGAAGACTGGCCAGCACCAGGGCAAGGCGGCAAGGCACAGTAAGCATCAGGTCACAGGGTTCTTGGAAGAAGGAATTTATGGTGTGGTTCTTCAAGCAGGCTGTGAGCCTAGAAGAGAGTAAGAGACCCTCGACCTCCCACAGACGAAAGAGCAGGGAGAAGAGGAGCCAAGACAAGGCAAGGACAGACAGCTCAGGGCTGCTCTGCAGTGGCCTACCTGCAATACATACACAAGCTCCCAGTACCGTGATGGATGGTGACCTGCAGTCAAGCTCTTCCCACAGGGCAGCATGCACTGTCCCAGAGGCAGAGAGAGCTGTCAGCAGCAGCCTTCAGCTGGCAGGCCTCTCAGGAATGCCCTTGACCAAGGTCACCTGCTCCCCAGGCAGATCACTTTCATGAGGATGGATGCGGGAAGATGAAGGCTAAGCCCCTTTAGCCCAAAGAAGAGACACGGAGCCATGAGATTTGGCTCCTGGGACACTGTTTGCTTTGCCTCGGTCTATCCTTACTTTTACTCTCTCCACAGGTATATTAATTTGCAACGTGCTTCCCATAAACAGGTGCATGACAACTCCGTCTCAGACACAGAATCCTAGGAAAGCAACCTGCGATGGGTGCATGCTCCTGTCCCAGGATTGCTGCTATTTCCCTGTCTTAATTTCATGTAATCCTTACACATCCCTCTGTGTCAGACAACTCAATCTGGATCTTCCCTGGCAACAGAAGGACAGCAGGAGGGGAGATGGGGACAGAGGAGGAGACAAAAAGCCTTACATTATGAAAGTCCAGACGGAAAGGGAGCCTTAGCGAGAAAAAGAAATCGAGCGTGAACTTCGAGTTGGGGAAACCGTTAGAGAGTTGATGGGTGGAAGTGTCTGGGTCAAATGGGATGCTATTGGCAATAAAATAGGTTTTGAGACGAGTGCCTAAAATGATGACTTGAAACCCCATTGGTGTTTTTCGAGAGACACAAGTAAATATTGGAATCACTTTTTAATTACTCCTGAGTGCTGGGCGTGCGTTTAATATTCGGCTCCACACAGACTTTGAGGCCCTGACTTTTATTGGGTGCATTAGTCAGGGTAATTAACACTAGCTGTTTTAATACACAACCCCAAATCTCAGAGGCTTAATGTAATAAAGGCTTATTCTCGCTCTCACATGGCCAGCAGTTGGGTTGGGTGGCTCCTTTCGGGGACTCAGCAAGCAGCCCATCTCAGAGTGATTTTATTATCTAATGTGTGGATTTGAATTCGTACGTGTGTGTAGGGAGTGCTGTGCACATGCCCAGTGGTCGATGCCAGACGTCTTAGTCACTCTGCATCTTGTTTTGGAGATGGTGCTTCTCACTGAACATAGGACTCACCAACTCAGGTAGGCTGACTGACCAGCAAATTGCAGGGATCTTCCTGTCTCTGCCTTTCCCGGGCCTGGATTACAGTGTCACATCCAGCTTTGACATGGGTGTTAGGGGATAAACTCAAGTCCTTGTGTTTACATAGCAGCCTGCTTACCGACTGACCCATCTCTCCTGCCCTTACCAGCATTTTAAACATGTCACCGAGACAGTTGCCCGGCCTGTGATTATTTCTGCTCTCCACACAGCTGCCTGTCTCTCACCTTCTTCACCCTCTGGCAACCCTTTCCTGTCTTGCTTATGACCCATGAGATACGTCCTTTTGAACTGGAGAAGGCAAAGGGACCCTTGCCTCTAGGTTCCAGGTTAAGTTTCCATCTGGGGATCCTGACATGAAACGAAGGCAAGAGGTAGTTTATGGCTTCAGCATCATCCCAGTCAGGTGGCCTGGTGAAGGGTTGACTCACTTGACGAAAGAGAACAGTACTTTCTGGATGATTCTCAACACCCCTCACCAGCTCCGTGTTCTGTCAGCAAGTTGTCCACTTTCCCCGTTGGATTGGCAAAAAGCTGTGCTGTCTTTTGGACCAATCCTATTGTTCATTTTCAACACCTCTTTTGGTTTCCACAGGCCCCAGGCATGCTTTCATAGACAGCCCTTAAACTATACATTGTTGGCTGGTTCTCTCATGAAAGCATCGTTAGAAACAGGCCTGAGAACAATGGGGTTCTGGCTCTTGGGAAAGAGGGACACTACTGGGATTTGGTACTTCAGACATTTTTTCCCTTCATTCCTTCTATTATATTTTTCTTCCGGGAAACAACCTCCATTCTCAGTCTCTATAGCCTTTCCTCCTTGTTTTGCTTTATTTCTATTACACATAAAATTTGCTTTTCTGCAGGATGAAGAGATGATGGAGAAGAGCAAGGCTCTTACAAAGGATCTGATTTGAGCTCCCTGCATCCACGTTGGTGGCTCACAACCACCTGTGACTCTAACTCCAGGGAATCTGATGCCTCTGGTCTCCACAGTCACAAACAGAGACACACAAACACATGCACACACACAATTAAAGATAAAATAATTTTTAGAAAAAGGGAGCTTCCCTTTCTGATGGCATTATTTTTGTCTCTATGTATTGATTTTTATTTAGTTGATATATTTTTTTTTAATTTACCCTAAAAATTCTGAGCTGAGTTCCCACCTCTTTGGGGATCTTCATATTACTAAATTTCAGTTGATTCCATGTGGTAGAGGATACCCCTGTATGATTTCAGTATGTTTGAATTTGTTCATTCATTTCACGGTGCAGGAGATGATCTGTCTTCACAACTGTTCCCTGGGTACATTGCTGCCCTTGAGTACTCTGTGGATGGCTGTTGGATCCTGTTGGTCCACAGTTATGATGTGTAGCCTTGGCAACACTCTATGGTTCTTTCAATGGTCAAATAGAATAGTGCTGTAGTCTCAAACTGGGAATTGCAGGCTTGTCCATTTCTGCTTTCATTTCTATCAGTTTTTGTTTGGCATGCTTTACGGCTTCGTGAGGGTTGCCATGGGTTAAACAGACTCCTCAGAACCTATTCACTGTATCTTTTTTCAGTACTCACCCTGACAAGGTGATGAGGTCACAAGACTCTGCCCTCATGAATAGATTAAAGACATTGTAATGGGAGTGGGTTAGGTATAGAAGAGACAGATCTACCCCTCCTATTATATTTGTTTGCCATCTGATACCTTTAGCCATGACATGTCCCATCAGGAATTCCCTTACGAGATGTGATCTTTTAGCCCTCTAAAAACATGAACCAAATATGCTTCTCTTGCTTATATCTTACTCAGTCTCCGGTCTTCTGTTACAGAAGCAGGAAACAGGTTAAGAACACATGTATATACATCTAGGATTCCCATACATTTTTGGTTGGCCAACCCTTTTGTTCCTATGGAACATTTTGATTCATCCCTGGTAAGCATTTTTGGTTTTGCTTTAAAGTATATTTAATCTGTTGCTAATACAGCTATTCCTACTCAGCTTTCTTTGGATTCACATTATGTCATTTGCCAATCATTTACTTCCAAACTTACCTATGTTACAGTTGGATTAAGATCTTTCTCACAGCAAACAGTTATATTCTTTTTAAATTTATTGTCAGTCTCTGTGTTGGAGTTGTTTCATTTAGACCATTTATATTTAATGTAATTACTGATCTACTGGAGCTTGCCTCTGTCTTTTTGTTTCTGTGTGTTCTTTGCTTCTCATTTCTGTCTCTTTCCTAGAACTCTGAGTTACCTGACTATCCTTTAGCCCAGTGTGATATATCTGTGGTCATTCCCAGCATGTCTCTTTGTGTAGGTTTCTCAATGACTGCATTAAATATCACATTTGCCCAAATCACTCCTCATAGTCACGCGGTGCTGACATTCATTAGCTCAAGAGTCACAAAGAAACAATTCCCCTTTCAAGCCCCATTACTAAACTCACCTACTTACAACATCAATATTTCTTCTACATACACTGAAGACCATAATCAACAATGGTTGTTGCCTCAAGCACCAGACATTATGAGAAAATTAGGCTCAGTATGAGAAGACTTTTATGTTACTCGCCTTTTATTCTTCTTATGTGTCTTACATTTTGATTTTCGTACTTTTTTTCTCTTACAATGTTCGGATACATCTTTGATGTTCTCTTCCTGCTTTGGAGAATTCTCTTCAGTCACTCTTCCAGAGTAGATCTACTGGTGACAAAGACTCTTTGCTCTCCTTAATCCTAAAACATCTTCATTCCTCTTATTTTTAAAGGGTATTTTCAGTGAACAGAGATTTCTGAGTTGATAAATCTCTTCTTTAGCCATTTGAAAAGTACTGTACATTTCTTCTTGGGGTCCATGACTTCTGATAAAAAAACTAGCTGTTGTTTAGTTTTCCAACTCAAGGTGGGGGTAAGATAAACTTTTTCCTCTGACTCTTTCTAAGGATGTTTCTCCGCCTTTGGTGTTCAAAGTCTGGAGGTGAGTGGCTTGTGTGGTCTCTATGGGACTGCACTGCGCTGTCCTGCTGAACTTCTTCATTACGAGGGCCAGAATTTGAAAATTTTGAGAGATTCTCGGCCATTTGAAATGCCTTCTGCCTCTTCCCCTGGTCTATGGCTGTGGTGTGTCCTCTTATGGAGGGACCTTTGAGCTTCGCTTCCTCTTCTGGGCCCTTTTCACTCTGTTGTCGTCCAGGTTAAGTTGTTTTTACTGTTCTCTCCCTAAGTTCACTGATGCTTCCTCCTTCCCAGTTTGCTGTTGAGTGTGCCCATTTTAAAATTCCAGTTAATGATGCAGTCACCATGCTTCCATTTGATTTTTCTTTCTACTTCCATTGTTTTTCTCCTGAGACTTTCTGTACATCTGATGAAACTTTTTCATCCATTTTTTCCCAGCTTGTCCCTGATTGCTCAATGAAGCATTTTCTTCTTCTTTCCAAATCCATGGATTCCCATTCACAATACAGGCTAGACACAACGGCCTGGGCTTAGGCAAACAGGGGGTGGGTTTACTCTGCCTCCTTTCTATAGAGAGTCAGCATAAGAACACAGCCTGTGGTGAGCATGAGGAGGGCTCCCTAAAGCACTGCCAAACTCCTAAGATAACGCTAATATCTGAGCCATCTGGGTGTTGATTTCTGTCTATGTTCTTTTCTTGTTCTAATTGAAAATGTCCTGGGTCTCAATATGATGAGGGGTGACTTTCATAGTATCTTAAACACCTTCTCTCCCACACAATGAGATTCAGGGACTTAATCTCTTGCCTCAGCAGGCACTGTGCATGCCACACTGATACCATGCCACTTTATCAAACAGGTAAAAGTCCAAGTTCTTGCTCTGTCTTTGGAGATAAGGATGCCTGGTTACTGGCAGATGGCAAGACTTTGGGCTCACCACTATGCCTCTGATTCAGTTAGGATTGCTATTGCTCTGTTAAAACACCATGACCAAAGCAACTTAGGGAAGAAAAGGTTTATTCACCTTATACTTCCACATCATAGTTCTTCATCAGAGGAAGTCAGGGTAGGAACCTGGAAACAGGAGCTAATAAAGAAGCCATGGAGAGTTCGGCTCACTGGCTTGCTCCTCATGGCTTGCTCAGCCTGCTTTCTTATAGACCCCAGGGCCACCAACCCAGGGATGACACTACCCACAATGGGCTGGGTCCTCCTCCATCAACCTCTAATTAAGAAAATACCCTATTGGCTTGCTTGAAGCCTGATCTTAGGGAGGCATTATCTCAATTGAGGCTCCCTCCTTTCTGATGACTCTACCTTGTGTCAAGCTGACATAAAACTAGCCATCACAATGGAAACCTTGTCAGCTTGACACACAAACACATCTCTTTTCAATTAGAACCGTTCCTGTCTCATTTATCCTCAAATGGTGCATTTATATTAATATCACAGCATCAAACATAACTTTAAAAGTTCCAGTCCTTACAAATTCAAGCACATTAAAACATCAATCTCCTGAAAAAAAAATCCATCCTCTTTAAAAATCTAGACTCTCTTTTAAAAGTTCAAAGTCTCTCAACTGTAGACTCTGTAAAAATCATAACTAAATTAAATACCTTCTCACTTCAAGAGGGAAGGACCAGAGCACAGTCACAATCCAAACAAAGCCAAACCAAGCCCCTATTATATAAGTAACCCAATGTCCAATGTCTGGGCTTCACGCACAACCTTCGGGGCTCCTCTGAAGGGCTTGGGGTATCTCTCCAATTCTACCCTCTGCAGCACACACAGCTTGACCTCAAGGTCAGACAGGCTCATCTCTGCCACTGCTACGGTTCTCCCATGGTACCGGCATCTACAAAATGCTGGGGTCTCTACTGCAGCTTGGCTGCCCCTTCACCAGCAGCCTGTCATAGACTCCCTCCATGGTGCCAACCCTCAGCTTCTCTGCATGACCCTTTCAAGGCTGGGCCCTCAAATGCTACTGAGGCTACACCTTCACCAATGGCCTCTCCTGGTCTCTCACAGCGCCAAACCTCAGCTGCTGTCCGTGACCCCTTCGTGCCTTCAAAACCACTACCACCTGCGTAACTCTTACACTATCACGTTCAGCTGCCAGTACAAGGTACAACCCTGGCTGCCTCTGGAACACAGCTTCCGTGTGCTGACTCCGAGGAAGCACTTCCCAGAAGATTTCACTTCAACAGTACTAGTCTCTTATTAACCACTGCGAATTTCTCAGCTCCAGGTAACCGGCATCCAGTATCCCAGTCAGACAAAGGTCTTATTTTCAGACTTTGGGTCTCTTGTTAATCACAGCTGATTCTTCAGTTCCACCTGACCAGACACCACAGAGTTATCACACAGAAGGCCTGGTAGAGTCTTTGCTTCCCTCTGAGATGTCACAAGCCAGGCCTCCACTGTCTGTTTTACTCCAAATCTTCCAAGATCCTATGGAATCTCTCACTGACCTGTCAACACTCAAGGGCTTTTATGGTTCACAGTTCCAAAGTCCTTCCATAGTCCTCCCCAAAACAGCATGGCCAGGTCTGTCACAACAATATTCCACTCTCCTGATAACAATTTTTTGATGACACACCCTCAACCAAACCAGCTTTGGAAAGAAAGGGTTTATCGACTTACACTGCACATCACAGTTCACCCTCAGAGGAAGTCAGGACAGGGACTTAAGCAAGGAAGGAACCTGGAGGCAGGAGTTGATGCAGAGGCCACAGAGAAAAGCTATTGACTGGCTCGCTCCTCGTGGCTTGCTTAGCCTGCTTTCTTAGAGAACCCAGGACCGCCCAGTCCAGAGATAGCACCTCCTGTAATGGGCTGCACATCCCTTATCCATCACTAATTAAGAAAATACCCTACAGGTTTGCCTACACCCTATCTTATGGAGGCATTTTCTCAGTTGAGGCTCCCGCCTTCCTGAGGACTCTGGCCTATGTCAAGCCAACATAAAACTAGAATACTCAGTGTCGACTGCTACTACTCTGACCCAGGTGGGGCACTGAATCACATTCACTTTGGCAATATACTATGTGTATTATGTTTCCCATTGCTATGAGTAAATACTGAACAAGCAACTACTGAAAGAAAAAGGGTTGTTTTGGCTCGCAGTTTGAAGAGGTACAGTCCATCCTGATGGAGAAGCATGGTCTGTTGTGACTCCAGGAGCTTGAGGAGTCTCCCTCACTTCCTCAGCAAACCAGGAAGTAGAATAAAGGGGAAAGCTGGTAGTGAGCTGACCTTCCTTTCCCCACTGTATTCAGCTTAGAACTGCAGTCCTTGGAATCAGTGTGGGCCACATTCAGGCTGGGTCTCTGCCCTTCTCAATCAAACCACTCTGAAAATGGCCTCATGGACATACCCCGTCAAGAACCCAAGGACGATCGATCAACCATTACACTGTAAAAGACCCAATATTTTCAGTGTAATTAAAAAGCGAATTCCAAGAATTATCCTGGAAATCCAGCAGTGGTTTCCATTCAAACTGCACCAACAGAAAGGTCTTCCGTCTGCGCTCAGACCTGGAATTCTGACCCGCTCCAGATCCCCTTCACGTCTGTGCTGCTCGGGCAGGTGCTCCTTCTCTGCGACCCCCTGGCAGGTGATGAGATGCTACAGCGCACCTGGAGAGCATGTGGAGGACTTGCCCTAGGCGGGCTAATGCACCCCTGAGACTAGGAAGCCAGTCTGTTGATACACAAGGCCCCCAAATGGACACCGATCAATTAGACACCTTAATGTGGTGACTCGCCTATAGAATGTTCCACAGGTGGCTGTCATTTGAAGCACTCACAAATAGCAGAAAATCCATTCCCAAGCTCGGGGCCTGCTGAGCCTCTGTGGCTTCCAGCAGCTTGCCCTGTACTTTAAGGAAGGTGTTGGTGGCAGCTGTGACATTTCGCATCTAGAAATGGCTGTAGGGGAAGCAAGGAGGTGGCCACAATCATGTGAGATCCCAGCAACACTGAAGGACTGTGTGGCCTCAAAGGCTGCCCCCCACATACACACTCTACTTCAGAGCTTCAATCCCTTACCGTGTTCTTCTCTCTTCCTTCCACACTCTCTGGAATAAAAGTGTTCATCCCATAGGCTCGCTCGGCAGTCACAGGTCAAGCTCCTACTCGGCATGGCGATGCCCTAGGCACACAGGCTAAGTCAGTCAAACACGAACCATTGATCGCGTTGGAGACAAATCTGTCCAGGACAAGTATATGACACCTACACCCCTAAGCCATGCTCCACCCACAACAGGCATCACTAATCAATAGTGCCACAAGGCTCCACTGGTTGGATTTGGTTTCTGGTTCCTGCTTAACACCCTTTCCCTGGATTCACTACCAACTGATGACGGGTGGCTCACAAGAGGGAATACCTTTAACCTCTGACCTTTAACCTCTGTCTGAGTTCGAGTTGTGCTCTCTGCTCCAGCTCTGCTAGCTAGATCCCATGGAAAGTGCGCGAAGAATAAAGAGCACATTCTGTTCCCCAGAGCTGATGCCCGTCTTCCCCAAATACCAGAGGCAGGTGGGCGCAGCACATACATGTTTTATGTGAAGTCTCCGTATAAGCCGACACTTCAGAGTCCCCGAACCAGAATGTCTATGGTGCAAAACTGTCCTTGGTTCCACCAACGTCTTACCAGGAGCCAAACACCAGACTGGAGAACAGAGCTGACATTTTAATGAGTGATTTTCATTTTTTAAAATAAGGTTTAGAAGTTGTGTAAATGCACAGCTGCAGGCTTCCTCAGGGGAGCCTGGCTCTGCTTCAGGCTCCGAGAATCCAGCGATGACACAGCGAGCGGGAAATGAGCAGGCAGACACATCTCACGTGTTTCTCTTCCTTCTGTCCTGGGTGGGCGCACTGGGAGGTGTGAGCCACGGACGAGTGCCAATGATCCTAGCACTTGCTTTATCGTGGGGGGCGGAGGGCTAGAATTTCCTCTGAAGATGCGTGTTCTAAAGGCATGGTCCTCCCAGGGACGCTCAAGGGGAACGTGTAAGAAGTGGAGCCTCACAGAAGCCAGTTGGGTCATTTGGAGTCATGTCCTCGAAAGCAATATTCTGCCACCATGTGCCCAATAACACTGGGCCACCACGGACCCAAACCAACAACACCAGGTGGCCATGAGCTCAAAGGCATCTGAAGTCATCAACTGAAACAACCAGTTCTTAGTTTTTTGTTTGTTTGTTTGTTTTGGGTTTTGTTGTAGTTGTTGTTGTTTGTTTTGTTTTATCTTTGAGACAGGGTTTCTCTGAAGCTCTGTAGTCTGTCCTGGAACTAGCTCTTGTAGACCAGGTTGGCCTCGAACTCACAAAGATCCACCTGCCTCTGCCTCCCTAGTGTTGCGATTAAAGGCGTGCACCACCACCACCCGGCCCAGTTCTTGGTTTTTAAGTGAATGTCTTGGGTGTTTGGCCACAGCAGCAGAAAATTGCCCAACACAGCTCCTCAGTCCACCTTTGAGGTCTACTAACATGGACTGAAACTCACAATTTCTGAACTTTCAATCCACGATCGCTTTGTCCCGTCATTTCTGGGCCATGGTGAGGAGGAACATCACAGCTAGGATCGCATGGAAAAGCAAAGATGCTCAATTCACA